GTGAACAACTTTTTCTTAGAGCATCCCCAGGAGTCAAAGCCATGACAGCAGGCATTATTTTAAAGGTCACTGATTTATTATTGCCTGATCAAGAAAGATCAATTAATTCTGAGCAGATTCAGGACTTCTGGAAGGCAGGCTACAGGTAAACTTGAGGGGGACTGACAGGTCCTGAAACAGAGATTGTGTTATATCATGCTATCACTGACCGAGCAGGGCAGACTGATCACACACAATTTCAGCTCGTTAATGTATATATTTCTTTTGGGAAACTGGGGAAAGAAACAGAGAAGGAGGAAAAGGGAGAACAGCACTGAAGTCTGCTCAAGTGGAGCAGACTAGCTATCTAAGGAGACCACAAGTTACTTTGCAGGTCATGACTTGAGACAACAGAAGCACATGCCTTCCTGAGTGGTGGATGTGTGTGACGCAGAGGGAGTGGTGGCAGTGGTAAAGCAGGACAGACAATGCTGACAATAAAGTCTCCAGTTTAGTAATATCCATAATATAAATAATTTTTTAGACTGTCAATCAAAGGTCATCCCTTTAACAGGCACTGCATAGCAGGAAGAATATGTTATATTGAGAACCAGAAGCTCTGAAATGTACAATTGAAAATATCCCTATCTTTACAGCCCAGATAGCACAAGTTTACATACATAATGGAAACTTTTTATTTACTTATTTTCACATTACCCTCAGTGTTATTAAATAATTTACCCAAAGGAAGGAGAGTAATGTAAATAATGCATTATTGCTACTACATACAAATTCAGGTGGATGAAAGCTAGTGATGCAATATGGACTTTAAATATCTATTAGTTCATAAAATCTGTACATTAAAAGACTGACAGGTCCACAATTTAACATTACAATTTACAGAGATGTTTGGAGACAGAGAAACTTTGTATTAGTAAGAACACTGTCCGAAAATTCTGATAGTTCTCCAGTCAATTGAGCTCATTCTAGAGAATGTACTTTTTTTTTATATTCTCCCTTTTAGAAGATAAAAATAATACCTTTGGCTAATTTTTGTTGTTGTAAATTAATATTATGACAGTTATCCTAAAATAAATAGGACAAATTGTATCTCTGTTTTATATTTTGTCATATATACAACTCATAACAAGTCAGATAACCTGTTAAATCTGAGCAATGCATTTTAGTGGCAGTATCAGTAAAGTTGTGTAGAGATATCTAGCCCTTGTTATTTTAAGACATGATGGACAGGTATACGACAAATACAGTTAGTTTAATTTCAAAAAGTAGAAGATGACTTTATTGGTAACTGGAATTAGTGGAAAGTGTTCTGTCCAGATGGTCATGCTGCTATTAATGGATTCCAGAGTAGGATGACCTTAAAAAGGTGAAATGGTACTTTAAATTGGACCCACATCCATTATTGCCTGCTGCAGTTAGCTGTTACATACTTCTGTTTTTTATCTTGAAACAATAGCTTTAAAATTACAGGGATTTACATAGTATGTGTATATGTATACTTTTATGTTTATAGCCAAGACTATCCAGCCCAACGTCAAATAGCTTCAGGCACTGACTGAAATTTATACTGATTGTCTCTGCAATTCATTATGCTCAAGCTCCACCAGCACTTTGGGAAGCAAACCTGAAAAGCATCTATGCCTGTTCAACTTGTCATATGTAATTACAGCACATTATATTAGCATTATTTTATTTTCTTAGAAGTGTTCAGTCTAATTACAGTTGAATTGTTATTTTGACTTTATTTTCTAATGGTGTGTTTGTTAATTTAATTTACAAGAACAACTTCAATTGCATTACTTTCAAACACCTACAAGAGAAACGAGATTAATTCAAGCAAAATCTAGAATTTTATACCTTCTCCTATTTTCTGCTAAGTCAGCGTAAGATTTCTTTTGTGAAAGAAGAGCTACCCATTCCATTCCATTCTCACACTGTGCAATCGCACATGTTTACATCTCTGAAGTTAGCACATATTTTCTTCTGCTTGGCAGCTGTGAAATAGATTGCATCTTTCATCAGAAGTTCATCTAACTACAGGGCATTGTCATTCCCAAAAGCATTATGTCATTCCCATTCAAAATTATCAAACGCTTGCTGTTTCTCTCTTTTTTTTTTTTTTTAAATTAGCTATGGCTAAGACATTAATAACACTGACCACATCTCACAATAACATTATCTTTTATTAGAGATCTTGTTTTACATATCCCCATAAGATATAAAACCTTTCAAGAGAAAATATCAAAAACCTTCAGTTGAAATCAGTTTGTTTCAGACAATGTGAGCAAGTAAACCGAAGACGTTTAAGATAAAGGAATGTAAAAAAAAAAAATCAGTACAGGTACAACTCTGGTATGGAAAGTAATTACAAGGTTTGAAACCATTTCTTACACAGCATTGTCTTTAAAACCATACTGGAAGGTAAGGATGTTTGGTTCTCTTAACCAGCAGTTATAAACCCAGCAGCTATAAAAACAGAAAAAGAGAAAATAATATGACTAAATTAGATGGTCAATGCACAGAAAAACCAAGAACTTAATTGAAATATCCAATGTAAGAAAAATATAATGTGAGAATTCATTTAGAGTTGTTGAAAAAAAAAACAACAAAGAAATCCATTGACAGCCACATTCTGAAACAATTAAAGTAAAATTTATTATGAGACTTTGAATGGAGCTGACTTAGTTAAGGATTTCAGGAAAGGATCCCAAATTGAAGGCTGTTCCGTCGTTGTACAAAAAATGCAAAATAAAGAAACAAGGAATAAATCTGCTGGTTAAGGAAGATTCAGGCATCATGATTGTACAGCTGATGACAAAAGATTGAATGCTATATGAAATATCTTTTGGAAGCAACTCCAACAGGCAAAATACTTTAAAACATTATTGCATTAAAATTTTACTTTTCTGCCTAACAAAACCGAAATAGTATTTTGAAAACTCTCTTGCACAGAACACATAATAATAGTCTCTGAAGCATTTTTATTCTGAAGATGCAACAAAATAAATGTTATGAGAATTTTCTGCTGGCAAGTCTACAAAGCTTTGAGTTCCAACAAAAAAAAAAAAAAGTATTTTCAAATACTACCACTAAGAAAAGTTACAGTACATGTTTATTGCATGAAAACATCCATTTACTGGATCCATCTGATTTTTCCATTTGTGGTTAGTGGTTCTTATATTCTTGATATAACTTGCACCAGATCCTACTAAATATTCCATTAATTACAAAACACACAGTAGATTGAATTAAGTAGGGAAATCTACACAATCTCAACAGAGATCCAACTTTTGACAATGCATAAAATCAGTTTCACTTTCATTTTCATTTAAGATAGCCTTTAGCTACATGATATAATTTGATACACTGTGGAACAATAATGATGAAATTAAATACAGTAGGCAATATTAGAGTTAGAAAATAGCACATCTTTTTACCAGTTATGATGACTTTTCATGCATTAGCATCAAAGATAAGCAATGACATATGGAAAAGTCAAGCAAAAGCAAGAGACAGAAGAAAGTTATGAAGATAAATGAAGACTAGGAAATGAGATCATACTTAAGTGCATGTTTATATATATTAACTGTAAACAGCAGCTCTACTTAAGGAAATACTTTTCACTTCAATGGCTTCAGCACTAAATATGAATTACTTAATATGTGAGAACAAAGCAAAAAGTAAGAATCCATTCTTCAGTAATGTGAACAGTGGCAATGTAAGTGAGGTTGCAAGTTTGAAAAATGTTGTTTAAAATATAGGCACATGATTCTGAATTAACAGGTCACCACAGTCTGTGACATGCAAGCACATGTTTCGATGGGTTTGCAAACTATGTCTTGCTTACTATCAACTCTCTGCATCAAGTTGCAATTTCCTTGAAAGCAGCTGAATTTAGATTTTACAGTAATTCTTTCTGTGTTTCATGTTATTATGACATCATTTTAATACATTCAAATAGTCAAAATGTTCAGAATAAGATAGCACAAACTTGGTGCAGGAGGACATAGATCAGAGTGTGGCCAGCATTGTCAAATAGGAGATACACAGCTTAAGTATTATATAAACTACCTTTCCCCCCAAAACATTAACATAGACACCAAAATTGTAACAAGACATATCAAAAAATAAGGCACATTTATCTTGATATGGTAATCTTGAAATAGAAAACTCATTTCAGAGAACATTGGTATCTAAATGAGTTTTATAAAAAATCTTGTATTAATGATAATTATGGACATTTCTCATCATACACGATAATGGAATAATTGCACATATCCCAGTGTGTCAAGTAACAAAATGGGAGTTTTATTAAAGATTTCCATTGCAAAATTATTTTGTAGGTCCATGTTTTCCTATTTACATAACTCAGGTGAGTGGTAGAAGTATTAAAGTCTACCATCACTTATCACAAGTACTGCAGACTTTCATTTTACCACAATTAATAATCCCCTTTGTGTTGAATAAACTGAAATTAATTGTGGAATAAATTGAGATTATTGTCATTTGTATAAATGATTGTAAATATTTGGACATAGCTACTACACAAGAACATTTTATTCCATTTTATTTCCAAGCTGCATCAGGACACTCTACACTGAATTGTTTGTACATAAATTCATCAAGGATCAGCAAAGAAGGCTGTTTAAAATCCAATCCCCTCTTTATGAAAATTAAAACATCAGAAATATCATTAGTTAGCATTTAACCTGAGATTTAATCTGTTGAGAGGTTAACATCCTTAGAAATTTCTTCACTTCTTGCACTAACTTATACTGATGTTGTTATTTTATGAAAAAAAACCCAAAAACAAACCAAAACCAAAAAAGTTGCTTGCAACATGGCTTTTCACTGTGTTGGTCAAAAAAATTACAGAATGCATGTTTTTCTCACAGTATCCAGAAGCTAGAATAATAATAATGTGCTTCTTATTGCACGTGAAACTTAGAGGAGATATAATTGCAGATTCCTCTTCGCCATCTGAGTATTAAAGCCAGATTTCATCTTAGCCGAATCCGAAATGTATTTATCTCCATAGAACTCATATTTATTTCACTTATATTTCTGGCATCCAGAGATGAATGCATCAAAGATATAGATGTGGGTGTAAGACTTTCCACTCTGAATTTGTTGAAGAGTTTATGCACCTTTATCTGGAAAAAAAAAAAAAATTTAGAAAATACAGTATATTTCTTAAAATTGACTTTAACCTAATCTCTAACAATGATCCAAATCAAACATCTCCTTACAGGTATCAGCACAGCAATTCTTACACCACAGACTATGAATAAAAAAAAAGTTTAAGTACCATGCCACAAATGCTATACACTAAATTAGATCTTTTTAGGCAGTGTTCACCTGTCACATTTCAAAGAAAGTAAGTTAAATCACTATATTAAAAAATGGATCTGAAATATTTGGATTAAAACTTTCATTGTTCCTAACAAAACAACACTTCTCTTCCGCTTAAAGAAAATCTCAAATCTATTTCAAAATTTGATTACAAAATTTCTACAGATTCAAACCCATCCAATCCATCTGTAATCTTCAGAACAAAACTGTGTAATTTTTATTTCTTAATTTTATGCATCACATCAATTCTATAGCAATTGCAAACCACTCGGCTATTTCCAATGGTGTAGGTCACGTAAGTGATCATGGATAGACAAAGGATATACTACAATAAGCAACAGCTTTCAAAGTTTAATTTGTGGATATGTTAATAATATTCAAAAGATACACTTCAGAATATGTAATTTGATTCTAGTTAGTAAAGTTCTAAAATACTACTGAAAAATTATTTGAGAAATACTGATTCGTGTTATGTGAAAACAACATTTAAAGGAAGTTAATGAGATTAAAACTGACCTAGAAGTTTACTTGTTGATGCTTACATGTTCATTCATGCCCACCAGCAGATCTATATCTTTATGAAATGGAAAGCAGCTTCCCACACAAACTTAGCTATTATCCTGAAAGTATAACTCTTGAAAAATAACTACCTAGGACTTTATCTATAATTTGACTTAAATATCAGTATTTCTGCAATATTTGTAGGGTAAGCTACCCATAAAATGTCAGTATACCTTTCCCTGAGTAGTGGAACAGAGCAGACCCATGTCTCTGTTTGAAAATCTACAGTCAAATCCCTTTCTGTGAAGAATCAGAGCAGCTTCATCAGATGGCTCAATATCTACCTGCAAATAGATAAAATAAAAAATTACTCAAAGTCACAGAACTAGAAAAACATTTTAAGACCTCATAAAATGATCATTACCTTACAGTGACAGAGCCTCTTATGCGCTAAATAATGTTCAGCCTAGATTGAACAGTCATGTTTCTTTTAACGTTTATAAGACTACACACAGAAAGAACACCAAAGAGAGCTTAGATATACAAAGTACTACAGAATATAAAAGTAAGTTGTTAACCACAGTGTTCAAAGCTAAATAGACGCACATGTTCAGACTCGGAATTAAAGTGTAGCTATCATAGTTGTATTAATTGGCTTCCCAGAAAAATTACACGGCAAACCCAAAACCCAACTATAAATCATATGCTAATTACAACAGCCAGTTTTAAATACTCCTTGTGACTATGTTCCATCAAGTTTCCGTTTTCCAAAGCTGCCCTCTAAAGTCTAACTCAGCGTAAGGTGCACATGAAACCGTACACTAAAATACAAATATTACATAAATTTTATGTTTATAGATAAGAAATACGGCACACTTGAGACAACAGGCATGAAAGAGTAACCCAAGAGCAACCCACAATCTCAACTTCCTACTTTGGATCAAATCACTAAAATCACTGGGGACTAATGGTCACATGTATAGCACATAAATGCCTCAAGTCAAAATCTTGTTTCAATATGTACTTCAGAAAACAAAGTCATAGCCCAAGTCTGGCTGGGAAACTTGAATTTACACAAAAACTTAATTTATTTTCTTTTACACTATGATGTAGAAAACCACTCTTGCACAGCAAGAGTAACAGAAAAGACATTCTTCACATTATAGATGACTGTGCATACAAGCTATCTTCACAATACACAAGTGGCACATGGCAAGATGCCCTTCATGCCGCAAGCTGTTTGCTGTATTGCTACGCTCACCTTAGTCAGTTATTTTCTATGAGGCATTACTTTATTTCTTTCTTGTTGTTTTACGTTCTTCAGCTTTTCATCTTAGTACATATATAATAAGGGCATAAAAAAGATGGTTCTGTTCGCAGCCATGTCAGCTCTTCAGGTTATTTTTCTCTAGTTTATTTCTGGTTTACTTGTTTTTGTACCGGTACTTTTTCCCAAAAGTCTCTGCCATGAGTTAGGTTCATTTCTGGTACCTCCGTAAGTATCTGTTGCCTTGAAGAAACCTATGCCAACAAGCATTAGCAGGCATTTTGTGCTGCTTTAGCTCTTGAAGGTGTAACAAAACACAGGTTTTAATATAACAGGCTTCAGATCCAAACCAAATTTCAACTAATGAAGGAGATCTTGGAACAGCTTAACTCAACTTCTTTGAAACTTGGCATGACACAGCTTCATAGTATGACAAATTCATAGTATTAAGTACTCATTCAAATAATATAAAAAAATGTTAAACTGATAAACTCAAAATTACAGTTTTCTAAGTAACTTCCTCATTCAAAATAGTAAAAATTTACTCAGCAGTACCTGGAATTGAAATGAAAGGCTGTGCAGTAAAACATAGATCGGTAAAAACATTGTATAGTTTACAAATCATGAACAACACTCGGTTTGAGAAGATTTCAATGAACGACATTAGCTTATAACCACCTAAAATCAGGTTTTGAATTAATTAATGAATGGTATCTACAGTCAGCATATTCAAACAAGTTTGCAGTACTTGGTATCATTGATGGTTGAAAAAGTTCTTACCCTATTTATTGGAACAGTGGTACCACTTTCTACATTAGGTAAGGTAATAATGACGTGTGACAAAATTATTTTCCTTCTCCAACTATGAAATACTTGACTTGGTTTTCACTGTCACTGATGTGACAGTGCCGCACTTAAAAGCAGACGTTTTTATTCACGCAAAATAATACCATCTGCCTAAACATTAGATTAGTGAAATACTAAAATTCATACTGCAGAAGTCTGTCTTCCTATGGGGTAAATTGATAATAAAAACAAAGTCAGTAATGGGTATCAACACTTTCTCTATTACAGTGGAATGATCTTGCACTAATCTGCATGACAAATGCATTTATGCATTTCAAATGATGCATGAATATTTAATCTTTTAAGTTTTTAAAATTAAATATTATCTTAATCAAGATTCAAAAAATTTAGAAAGGTAATAAACAATTAATGGCACCTTCAGAAAAAGAGTTTTGGCAAGTATAAATATCTATGATATAGCAGTCAACCTGTTAGAATTCCTAGGACTTTATCATGCACAGAGCATCCATGTGTAATGAATTAAGCTGTTCTAACCTATCATCAAAGCAGGTGTAAGAGTAAGTTGCCACAGCCTCTGCATCTACTTTAACTTACCTCTTCTTTTATCATCTCTAGGTAAATTAGATGAAGTGTATGCAAGCCTAAGGAATGTCTGAGCAAGGATGAACCTAATTTCCATCCAATACACCTTCTAAACATGACCATGTTAATTGCATGAAAGCTTGTAACAAATTTCTCAATTTTCAACTCACAACAACATCCTTAATCTTGTAAAACTTTACAGTATTGTTATACGACAAAAATTCCTTAACTACTGTACTATCAAATCTCTGACTGCCTTTCTTGGAAGAGCTGCCAAAGTTTGATTTGATTTTGATCTCTGAGAAATAAAATGCCGTTCTCACATCAGGCTTCTAGATGGAAAAAAAAATTTGCTAGGCTTTCTCATAAGTAATATCCCAGGGCAATGCTGCTAAAATTTTGATGAGAAAGAAAACCCATTTAAACACTTTTTTATCTGATTACTGTAAGCTTAGAGACATGCATTGAAAAGTTCAAGCAACATGACAAAAATATGTATTTATATTCAGTATAAAGGGACAAACGAACTCAGTTTTTAAAGCTTGAGGCCCAGTCTATTTACAGTAGGTAAAATCTGTGTCAAACAACTTAAAAACTGGAGCTTTATTAAAAATTTATTTACATTTCATATTCCTGAGGCATTGGACTCTTTCATGACAAGATCACATATCTTACAATAGCAATATTCTTCCCACTGAGAAGAGTTTGAAGGGAAACTAGGAATTCCCTTAACATTTTTTCTCATTTATGCTTTCATACATTTTCATGCATTCTGATTTCTACCTTAAATCTTAATAATATTTTATTTTAATTTGGTACCTTTATATGTGAAATTGTAATGATATAATTTCGTGAAAAACAACTTCAATAGCTAAAGTAATGGAGAAATCATCTATATTTCTGGAAAAAATTGCATTGCATCGATTAGCCAGAGTTATGACACTTGTCATTCAAATTCTTGGATGAAAAAGAAAGGAAGTAGAAAGTGAGGAGAGATTTAAAAAGGCCACTTTGGCATGCAAGGCATTATTTGCAAGGCATAGAACCATTTCGACTGTGGGGAACAAGTGTTCTGTACCTATAACAATAGCACTCCTATCCTATGACTACTGATAACTTTCACTTTGAAGTGCACAAAGTAATGTTGTAAGCTCAAGAGTTGTCAATCAGGTAATCATTGAAATGCACAGTTATGGGCAGGGAAGAGATCATAGCCTCAAACAATCTTACACCAACTGGGATAGTGTGGCTGGTATAGCCCAGATAAAATCATACAATTCACCCATGAGTATCACTGGACACAAAAAAGCAGACACGGAGCCAGCCTTCCATTTCACAGGTTTCATGGTCACGAGATACAAACAAGGGGAGGAAGTTTAGGCCTTGAAAAGGGAGAGGGGGCATGTTCATGAAGGTCTGTCCCTGAACATGACATGCTGCAGCCAACAGGTGTTGCTGAGCTGGCGCAGGTAAATTAAAAGATTTCACACAGAAGTGTGGAACATACGCTTAATATGAAGATTTATTTCAATATGAAGCTTCCTCCTAACTCTTCAAAGGCATAAGACCTGCAGAATGAAGAGCTGTTCCACTGTGAAATCCAAAATAAGAAACAGTCACAGCTGAAGAAATACACATGAGATTGAACCACTAACATAGAAAGTGTGAGAAAGTAAACTAATTCTTTAGGTTTTAAAAGAAGGATTAAGACTTAAAATGAAGAATGATGACAAAACAGTAGCAAATGGCAAGTTTTGCAGATATTCTGAATATAATCTGAGGTTACTGTAGATAAGCAGTTCTTCCTCAGCCATCATAGAGACCCTAAGGGAGAAGGGACAACTGTAATTAGTATCTAAGTATGGCAGAATGAAAAAGGGATTTCATCTATGGAAACAGCACTGGCGAGTCATACTGCAACAGAGCATAAAAGTTAATATACTCACATTCTAAAAGGTGTTGAAAAAAATGATACAAGTGCTGGTAGAAGAAGGATGCACAAACAGTTCTACTTCTATACTTTATCAAATAGAAAATTGAAATATGGTAGTTACAATTATGTAAGTTCCTTTGCAAGGAAAAAAATATTGAGTACAGAACAGGTTTTTTGTTTTTGTTTTTTTAAACCTACCAGAGAACATTTTCCCAGGAACCAAGGCCTGTAAGCTAGTAATTAAAATAGGTCTTGTATTTAAGCTTAAGAATATTTTAACAATTTATTCCTATGGACATTAAGACGTGCTAAATTTTCTTTAAGTCTTCCAAATGGAGTCAGATGGGTTTAAACCCATACAGTTTATTAAAATTACAAATTATTGTACTCAGAACAAAGTTTAATGACCTTAAATCTAATTCTTCTTAACACAGAACAGGCAAAAGTGTAGGAACCCTTCTGCTCTTAAACTTTGGGAATGCATTGAAGTGTGCCCCCTTCAGAGACAGAATAACGTACTACGCATATTATTATGCTGTGAAAAAACCAGTTCCTGTATTTCATGTTACTTGGACACAAGTCTCTAGTTCTTGCTGAATTAACAAAAACTAGTCATCACGCTGCAGTTTATCAGAGCACATAACCCCCCCCCCATTACTCTCCTAGAATAAAGTATTTGATTAGACCACATTAATAAGCTATATCTCATATTTGCTCATAAAAACAGTGGTTTGAGCTTACCTTTGATTGGATTGTCCTCAGATTGACTATATGCATGTCACAAGGCATGGATGACATGAGTGGAGAAAAAGTATTTAGCATCTCTGGGACACCTGAATCTGCATATGTTGTCATTGGAATTGCAGGATGATTTAAGAAAGAAGAAGTCATATGGCTAAGAAGTGAGGGAAAACTGACTGATGCCTTCTCTTCGTTCTGCAAAATACAAGAGAAAAATATTTGTAAAATCATGTTAATATACCATCATGACTGAATTTTGAAACCCACTTACTTTATGTATGAGTCCATTAATTTAATAGAAAAATCTTAATTTACAGAATGTCCATTTAATTACTTTTGGAAACGTCTGATCATCCAGTAATTCTCTTCCAATACTAGGTATACTTCCTGTTTTTACAAATCATTACCGTACCTTTCAAAATGATCATTAGATGACACCTCGTTTTACACCATTCCTCAGTCTTCTGTGTTAGCCCTTGATGTGTAAACAATGTAGTTTAGAGAAAGTAACTAGCTTATACTTCAGCAAGTTGCTCCTATTTATTCAGTATTTACCTGAATACCGACAGCCAGCTAGTCTTTTGCAGGGTTCCTTTTCTGTATAAATTTTCTGTCCTGTACTTATCTACTTTCTTCAGATTGATCTAAATTGTATTCTACATCCCTCTTTCGTTTAAAATCTAACTTCTTAAAACTGTTTGCTGGAAGAAACTAGCATCTTTGTCCTGGTCTATGGTGCAAAAGATTTCTTTCAGCAGTTTTATTTCAACATCATGTTAGCAGGAACTGAAGAGACAGACTCTCTCCCAATATCTTAAAAGTTTTATACTTTCCTGAGTTTTGTATTTGTAGTGTTTTTACATGGCTGCAGAAGCTGTGTTAAAAACATGAGAGGATTACGTACTCCATACTCACAACAGCTAGTTAAAGCTCCATAAAAGCCACAAAATAAAACAAAGGAACTTTAAAAGGTAATTTCTGTTTTAGAATGTCAGTGAAGATAAGGTAGAAATGGGTGAAAACTTATTTTTCTCTTACTTTTCCTTGCATACCTAACCAGATAAATCTCTACTTTTTTATAGTTAAACAGCTGATTTTAAGTGAAAACTTTGCAGAAAGTTTACTGAAAACATAGTATCTTAAGCATTGATATCTTAAATTTGCATTTTATGATAGGCTGAAAATGTGGAAATGAAAAATAAATGGGAGATACTTAAAGCAAAGGGGAGGATTATTTATCAGCTTATAATGGACAACCGTAACAGTAATTTCTGTTTTGGGGTGCATAAGCATGTATGCATATTTATTTATACCTCTGCAGTAGCAATAAATACATCTGACAGTGTAGCAATTTAAAATATGCCAGAACTGAATTGGTGCAAGATGATAATTCCTGTTTTATTACTGGTGCTGTTCTTAGTAATGACTATCACTGTTTTCCTCTTTGGTAGCTACTAAGCATTGAGGCTAGTATTTTTATAGATCTATTATGACCTCCAAACTAATTTCCAAAAATGGTAATAGCTGTAGAAGATTGCTCCTCCATGTGCCTCATTACATTTATTTACATTGAATTCCATCTGCCACTTTACTGCATGTTTAATCAGTATTGAGTCCTCCAATTCCTTGGTTAGCCTTGATTTTTTTTTTTTTTATTACCTTGAATACTTCAGCATCACTGGTAATGAATGAATGACTTCCTTGTCATGATTTTCCTTTCCAATTAAAGTATAAGCAAGCTTGCTCTAAGTACAGCTAAAGCTAAAAGTCTTCAGTTCAAGTGACCACATGCATGCTCTACCCACAAAGAATTCACTGTTTCACCCCAAAAGGAGCACCGTTTACACTGTTGCCATAGATGTGCTGAAGTCAGTCAAAACATTTTATCGTCAGTTTTCCTACTATTATTCAAACATTTTTTTCTGTACAATAAGTTGATTGCTTGCATCTGACAACATAAAAAAAGGTCTGCTAGAATATCTTACAAATAATACATCAATCAGTGAAATAATTTATTGATTGAGTTGCCCTTGCAACTCCTTCGTGGTTCTAGGTACGTTACCTGAGAACAAGCAGAAGAAAACTACTGTCCAGCAACAAGAGTCATTTGAGATCAGTATTTCATATGTACTTTTAAACAACAGGCATTCACACTCAAAGCATTTGAGATCAGCCATTTTACCTAAACAGAATTCATGTTCAGCCATTTCCTCCTCTACTTTCAACCACTGACTAACACACACTACAAAAATACGGAAGTAAGAATGGCATGCCCCATATCCAACGCAGTTCCCCTCAACTCCAGATTTCTCAGATTTAAGAGACTCCAAGGAGTTGGAATGAGAAAGAAGGGTAAGCCTTCACAAAACAATTGTTGCGTTTTGTCGTGTTTGTTTTTTTTTTTTTTAAAAAGTTTTATCTACATGCCAATTTTCACTCTAAGACATCCCAACTACTTATGTGGAGAAGGGCCACAGTTTGCTATGAGAAGAGTGACTGAAAAATCATTCTACTAATTGCAACTTCATGCCTGGAAGTACAGTACTCACTGAAGACAAACAGAACTCATTTAGATGTCCTCAATTTCAGAAACAGATGTTCCTCACAAAATGTCACCAAGGTCATTTGAGACGAAGGGACACAAGATCTTTTTAAAAGCTTCTGTTTCATATACAGAAAAATACTGTGTACCTAAATAAAAGCATGACGTCCATGGGTCAAAACCTTGCCCAAATTCCAAGATCAGAACTACAGGAAAAAATGGAAGGCAAGTTTGTATATTGGCTGACATGAAAGTAAAAAAATCACTCCTGGTTAAAATATCTGATGAATCCTCAGCCTTGTCTAGGAAAAGATAGCACAGGGTAGGTCAATCTTCTAGGACTGAATCCTTCTAAGCCTTCTCTAAGGCTAACAGAAATAACGTGAATAAAGGTGTTTTTCATACAAAGATGTAGTAATGTATATTGCTGCTAAGAAACCAGGAAAATAGAAGGAAAGACACTGGAAACTGAAGAAGAATGTGGTGGGAGAAAATCATTTGCTGTTAACGGGCAATGGGACAAAATTCTCAGGTAACCCATAGCAGAACCATAAAGAGCGGCTCCTCAATTCCTAGATTCTGGAAATAACAGAGAATTGCAGAGAAACACAGTCTTGAAGGATTCCGGCAAATGCTAGAATCAGAGCTGATTCGACTTGGCTTATTTTTGCTCCCGTTGTGTTCAGATGTTTTATCACTGCATAAGAATTGTACTTTAGCATTATCCAATTTGAAAAGCTGCACTAAGACTAGATGGAGATTTTATCTTAAATCTTGTATTCCCACATTTGGAATAACAGTCAGTTTTGGATGACTATACCAACAGAAGATGCACAATCATTCAGTGAATCTATGTAATAGCAACGGAAATGAAGAGTACAGCAGGTGCCAAAAGTTGCCAGGAGACCAAGGCAAAAAGGGTTTGCAAACACTGTGAAGACAATGCTATCACAGAAGATCCAGAAGTGACACTTCAAATCCCACTCCCCCTTAGGTACATCACAGTCACAAAAGCATTGGAGTACGTCTTTCTGCTCTCAATCTAGTGATCCACAATTCAAACATAGAGAGGGGAAGAGTTTGAATGTACAGACAACACATTTGGAAGAATAGTTACTCTATATACACATTCACTATGTGGGTGGCTTTCAGCAGTACCCTGCTGACACTAAGTCAGAAGATGTAGTCCCACAGTCTCCATCTAATTAAAGTACTGCTCTCTCAAATGTGGCATTATTTCCTCAACTTCAGTGACAGTGTTTAGCACTCAAAGTGTGAATGAAGCTCCACTGGCAGCCTTCCAAACAATACATACTGGCAAGATTCTGACAAATGCCACTGATATAGCTGAGTGTTGGCTTAATGAGCTCTAATCAAAGCAAATATTGCCTTTTTAAACTATCTTACAGGACATTCATATACAGTTATCCAATTGGAAACTGTCTGTATTGAAATACAACCCCTGGAATGATTGTGCAGTAAATGTGAACAAATCCTCATACAGGATCTTTCCTTGTCATCAAAAGTAAAATGAATAATTCTAAACTCATAATTTTGAAGAAAAACAAACAAACCAACCACAGTTCAGTATAACCTTAGGTTACAAATTCCAACAAGTTTTAAGAATCTCCTCATCTAAAAAAAGTGCCCTTAAATCAGATATGAGCTATTTTATTGATAAGTAGAGAGGATGGAACAGATTGAAAAAAGATTCAAAGGGTTTTCTGGTAAGAGTTTAAATTGAGGAACTCAGGTCCTTAATTAGAGGGGGAAAACACTAATTAGACTCTTCAGAAACCATTTAGTAATTGAATGGAAGAAAGAAACAGAAAATACTGTAGAGAGGAAAGTAAAGCTGAAGCAGTTGATAATTGGACTTCAATTGAGCTAACAAAGAAACAATTAACTTTTCAGCTCAGAGAAGCGGTCTAAAATTTCCCATATGAAAGGAAAAGAAACTGAGGCAGACAGAATACCAAATCACAAATCTTGACTGTTTACTCCTCCTCTAGACTGTTCTCTGCTATGAGACCCTACTCAAGAAAGAAATTTAATTATAACTCCAAAACCTCACCTGCATCTAAACTATCTGATCAAACATGATGAAATGTGGATGCTGACTTTGGATGTCACTGCATTCAAATACAATCTGGAAACAGAAAGAATTCGAGCTGCAGATCCAAATAGTCTGATATGAAATTATTTGGACTATTCCTGGAAGGAAGAAGTCTCTCACTCTTTCTCATGCTTTGTGAGGAAACGATTTTTATTAACCTTGTCAGATAACCAACCGGCAGCACTTTTCGAACAAGAATGTTTCTGGACTGGAAAAATCTCATCTGTGGAGTAAAAAGACTCTGAATCAGAGCATCTCTAGTCTCAAAACATAGGGAGACAATATTATTAAATATCTCTCAATCATAATCTAGCAGTAACAGCAAGCAAGAACGTCAGCCAAAGAATCTAGAGCTTCCCAAAGACAAATATGGACAGAAAAATTTATTTCTTTCTCTACAATCCAAAGATTGACAGTCCATCTGCATGTTTGACGAGATGCTGCTTCTACTTGAGAAACTGGGTACTACTGTGCTAGCCTGCTTATAGGTGAGAAATGTAATGGCAGTCAACATCATTGACTATATGAATATGTTTT